TACCTCAGCATTTAATCATCTCTCTTCCAAGGGCAGCCGCCCGACTTAGTGCATGCTGGGTTTCCAGGCCTCCAGCCCCTCCCCCTTTCCCTTGTCAGGGACATGAAGGCTGCTAGGTCAGAGACACTGAGGCGATTTAATCTAATCCCATGTCAAAATGGCTATGTGAGAGAGAGGTCTTAAAATCCCTACAGTGGGATGGTCATGCATTTATTTAAGGTGGCAGTAGACCAAAACTCTGTGGAAAATAGGAGAATTGGGGTTTCAAGGCATGGGGGGGGTGGCGGTTATGAAATGACTCCCATCATGCCCTCCCTCTCCCGGACTTCTAAAGTGTGTGGCTGTCCTCACCAGTTACTCTTCCCTGGGATCTTTGGGTGGGGACCATTTCCTCACCCAGGTGTGGCGAAGTGTGCTTCTTCCCTGTCTGCGGTGGAGTACAGAAGATGGAGTCTTTCAAAAACAGCTTAATTTGGATGAGTCTTGAATGTAGTATTTTTTAAGTTGCTTTTTTTGGGGGCTGGGAGCTCTTGTTCCAAAACAGCCTCATCACCCTAAGTCTCACCCACCTTAATCACGCAGTCCCTAGAAGGGATACATGTTAAATCTTAGAGGGCAGGTTTCATTCGTAATAGCAGAAAACACTCATGGGCACCTGCTGACTGCTGGCCACTCAAAGATGGAGACTTAATCCCTCCCTTAAGGACTCTACAGCTTCCTTGGGAACAAGACATGCAAGCAGTGAGGATGAATGAGGCTGCTGCCTCCAAGGAGCTTGTACAGAGAGCCGAGGAGGAGCATCGGTAAAGAGGACGCAAGTTGAGGAGGAGGGAAGCTAGCTCTCGGAGGAAGAGGAGGAGCCACCTCCAGGCAGAAGGCATGGAGGTGCGTGCTTGGAGAACCTCAGTCAAGTAGTTCATCTGGCTGGCGTGTGAAGTGAGTGGGGATTAGTGGATCACCAGGCTTAACTGAACAACAGTGGCCGACGTGAAGAGTTTAAATACCTGCAAAGGGGTTTGGACACTAGAAACCACTGAAGAACTGTGAAGGAGAACAGCAAGACAAGGTCAGATGTTCCGAAGATCATTCTGATTATGGCAGCACCAGCCAGTAGATATATTTTTGCAGTGGAACCTTGCTTCATTTTATTCTGGGGGAAATCTTTCGTGATAATATAAAAACTATAGTACTGGGCATGGGCTCACATCATAGGAGACCCAGACACATCACAGCCAGGGTGAAAGAAATTTACCTTTGACAACTCTTTTAGTCTCTGTTCACACCAGCCCTAACCCAGATCGTTGCTCAGTTAGAAAAGATCTCCCTGCAAACTGTAGCCTCTGTAGCTGTAAAACAGGGGACTTGTTCCCCAAGCTTGGAGCTTTTGGAACTGAATGGAACCCAGAGGCAGGAGCAGTGAAATGAGGCTGACCGTTGCTTCTGGTTTTGCTTGCTGTTTTGCTTGCTACTTGCCACCATGTGGGTTCCCTGGAGGATCGCACAGTTGTCTTGGCCTTGCCACTGGGCATTTTGGGTGACTTTGTTACATTTGCCTGTTTTGACCAGAGGAGAACATAATTGTGATACACAGGGAGGAGGTGGGGGGCTGACAAGGTTGTACGGTCTTCACATATGCACACTCAGGCCCAGGCCTTGAGTCTAGAGGCTAGGGAGAGGGTCCAGCTGCACGTTGGTTGAGGCCAGCAGTACATGACCCTTGAGGCTATGCTGATAGCAGCTTGTGGCACACTTTGTACTTCATACTGTGAGGAACATGAAATAAGCCAGAGTCAGGCCTGATCTTGAAAGAGCCCTCTGTCAAGTGGGAAGGCCTGTTGCAGACATGCATCACCTGGCCCAGCCAGCTTATCCATTGCTGTCCCTGGGCCTCGAGAATCCAGAGGAGGCTGCTCCAGCATTGATCGGGCTGGCGTGGGCCAGGTCCCACAAGGAGGGAAAGCTGACCCGAGTATAAAGGGAAAGAGTGGGGGACAAGTCTATTTTGTGAACAACCTGAGCAAAGGCCCAAGAGTGTGGCTGCTAGATTGAGGGAACTGAGAGTAGTCTGGGGGAGGAGGGTACCTAGAGCACAGGGTACCTGCAAGGGAGTGAGGGAGATGAGACTGGAAGATGGACCAGGGCAAATCATGAGAGGCCTTGAAGACCATAGTAAATCTTTTTTTTTTTTTTTTTTTTTTTTTTTTGGAGACAGTTTCACTCTTGTTACCCAGGCTGGAGTGCAATGGTGCGATCTCGGCTCACCGCAACCTCCGCCTCCTGGGTTCAAGCAATTCTCCTGCCTCAGCCTCCTGAGTAGCTGGGATTATAGGCACGTGCCACCATGCCCAGCTAATTTTTTGTATCTTTAGTAGAGACGGGGTTTCACCATGTTGACCAGGATGGTCTCGATCTCTTGACCTCGTGATCCACCCGCCTCAGCCTCCCAAAGTGCTGGGATTACAGGCTTGAGCCACCGCGCCCGGCCTGTAAATCATTTGAACTTTATTATAAGCTTTGGGAACCTTTTAAATGCCATGGCATTTAAATGTTTGAGATGAGGGGAGTAACACTATATGGAAAGATCATTGGGCTGGGTGTAGTGGCTCACGCCTATAATCCTAGCACTTTGGAAAACTGAGGCAGGAGGATCACTTGAGCTCAGGAGTTCAAGACCAGCCTGGGCAACACAGTGAGACCTCACCACTATATCATAATAATAAAGACAGATGATTTGAGTGACTGGGAAGGGGTGAACTGAAAGAGGGATTGATTAAACACCAGAGCCATTTGCAAAGGTTTCGTTGAAAGAAATTGAAGCCCACAATTTTGTAGGCCAAGGCCTGGCCCTTCAGCCTGTTTTCCACCATGCCCATGTGCTCATGGAGGCTGGCCGCCTCCTCCCTTTCAGGCCTGCATTGCAAGTGTCAGGGGGACTGGCCACATCTTCCATTTGTGTGAGGGCACACCAGAGGAGCCGGGGTTTCCAGCAGTCTGTCACCAGAACAGCAAGCCTTACTTCATGATGTCTCAGTGCATCACCAAATGCTTACCCCTTATCCTTAAACTGGCAACACTTACTCCCAGAAAACGGTTACATACAATTTAGCATTGGAAAAGAAAATCTTCTATTTGATTTTTTGCATTAGAAAATATTTTGACAACCTTTTTTTGATTAATTTTTATCTTCATCAAAGTAGCCTATGGTTTAAATGTCAAAGAGAACCAAAAGGGGCCTCTCCGGGTCAGTTTCTCAATACAGTAGGTGAACCTCAGAGGCCAGGCAGCAAAGGTCACTGGGTCTGGATGTTGGGATTGGTCTAATCAGTTAAATTCAGACTTTCACTAATTCTCATTTTTAGCCTCATCCCCTCTTTCTGCGGTAGCTAGGCCTCTACGTCCTGAGCTCTGTGTGGACGTAGGAGTTGCCCCTTCCACTTCTCTGATAAATCAGAACCATTTCACATTTGCATTGCATCTTCCAAAAAAACGCTGACATCCCTCGTTTATATCCTTTTTGCCCCATTCGCTGTAATTCTAGTTTCAGAAGGAAGAGGAGATGGATGTATACATTAGTTACGGGGAATCCTTTTTTAAAATCTATTGTTAGCTTTCCTTTTTTGGGCAGGCCTACCTTTACGGAGGTTATGTTTCTTCCTTTAAACCATCCTTTCTACTCTGAAATAATAGTGATACTGGGGAGTAGTTGGGGTCTTTTTTAAGTTGACCCCAAAATGTGTTTTTACATTTTACTGGTATGTTAAATCTAAAAACCAAGAAACAAGTGACCTAGGCTTTTAAAAATAATAATAAGCCTGACTCTGAAGGAAGGCATGTAGACGGGGCAGTGGCCAGAAGACAAGATAAGAGAGGGAGAAGCTTTTACTCTTTAGGCTGAGAGAGACTTGACATAGGCAGAAAGAGGGCTGAAGAAGGCAGTGTAGCCAAATATCAAAGAAAGGTAATGGCCTGTTCCAAGAGGGGGAAGACAGGCAAGACCATTCATACCTGACAGGCCTGTGCTTCCTAGATACAAGGGCAGGCAGGGCCCTCTCATGGCAAGCTGGGAGTCCCTACCCTGAGGCACGTTTCCACAATTTCTCCAAACTTTTCTTTCCTGATAGTCTGTTTTTAAAAAGTTAAAATGGCCAGGCTTGGTGATTTGCACCTATAATCCCAGCTATTCAGGAGGACAAGGTGGGAGGATCGCTTGCTTGAGGCCACGAGTTCAAGACCAGCCTGGGCAACATAGCAAGACTCCATCTCAATATATATATATATATAGATGTATATATATATTAGCCAGGCATGGTGGCACACGCCTGTGGTTCCAGCACTCAGGAGACCGAGGTGAGAGGATGACTTGAATCTAGGACTTCGAGGCCACAGTGAGCTGTGGTCACGCCACTGTACTGCAGCCTAGGTTACGGAGCCAGACCCTATCTTTTTAAAAATAAAAAATAAAAAAAGTTAAAATGCAAAAAAGTTGATTGCATAGAAGTAGAGAATAGAATAATAGTTACCAGTGTCTGGAGAAGGGTGGGGGAGGGGGGCAGGAGAGGTTGGCCAGCAGGTACGAAGGAAGAGTGAGTCCTGATGTTCTGTTACACAGTAGTGTGACTGTAGCGAAGAACAATGTAGTCTATAGTTCAAGATAGCTAAATTTTGAATGTTGTCACCACAATGAATGATAAATCTTTAAAGAGATTAATATGGTAATTATCTCGATTTGATCATTCTACAATGTATACATGCATTGAAACATCATGGTGTACCCCATAAACATGTACAGTTATTTATCAATTATAAATCTTAAACATTAATGAAAAAAATTTTAATGGGGTGGGAGAAGGGATATCTTTGTGCCTGGGCCATGGGTATATATGATCACCTGGGGCTGGTGACCATGATACCTCAAAGGCAAGAGCTGGGTGCCCCCGTCCAGCCAGCAAACAGGAGCTTGAGCAAGAGCCCCACCAACGGTCTTCCCTCTGTCTCTCCAGGCCTGGTCCAGATCCCTGTGAGCATGTACCAGACTGTGGTGACCAGCCTCGCCCAGGGCAACGGACCAGTGCAGGTGGCCATGGCCCCTGTGACCACCAGGATATCAGACAGCGCAGTCACCATGGACGGCCAAGCTGTGGAGGTGGTGACGTTGGAACAGTGACATACAGCCATATTATGGCATCGTTTTGTAGTCTACTTCAAGATTTTTTACACGTTTGCAGAGGTGCAATCAAATGGAATTAAGTCTCTCGACTTTGGAAGAAAAGTTTTGTTAACCTTTTTTTTTTAAAAGGAAGAAAGGCAGCAGATTTTGGAATTGCATTTTTTAAAGCACCACTCTTGATTTTCTGGGATTGGTGGAGTAAGAAACTGCGTTGTCAATTTCACTGTCCCAAAAAAGCCAAATTGTGGCAGGACTTCTTTCTGCAGAAATGTGTGTGTATACTTATGTGTGTGTATGTGTGAGTGTGAATATATGTATATGTGTACATATGGACATACACATTTACATATATGTAAAGTATATATATATATACATATATATATATATATATATATATATATGTATGAAACCCGCATGGAATTATCTGTATGAAATCAAGGTGAGCTGTGGAAACAATAATTCACCCAGTTTAGTGGGTGGTTGGGTACGTGGCCAGACACAGTCTCCCAGTTTTTGTTCATACCAGGGTCATGCGTTGAGCTACTGACAAACTCAGGCGGAGGTGACCATGCCCTTCACCAAAGCTGCCTCCCAGTGGCCACCCAGAACTCTCTCGGCTGGACTCACCTGAGGAAGGAGTTCCGGCATGGCATGGGTCAGAGATGCGCTTGCAAGGTCCAGGGGCTGCATGGTCTGCCAGCTGAGACGCTCCTCGGGCTGGCCCAGGTGCTGACCTTGCCACAGGCAGATGAATGTCTTGAAAGCTCCTGGGCCTGGGACAAGAGGGTTTTCCTCAGCCTCCCATCTCCTCTCCTTCCCAGGTATCCTTCTTGATCTCATGACTATTAAAATGTTCCTCTGGTTTTAAGGTCAGTCCTGAATTGGTCGTATATATGAACTGAAGGTAACAAGTATTAAGGGTTTGAGGAGTGCGTGCGTGTAAGTGTGCTTGTGTGTGTGTATGCGTGCGTGCATGGTGGCGGAGAGGATGGGAAGGGGGTGGGAGGGGTTGGAAGGGAAAGGAAGGAAAGCAGAATCTTCCTAAACCAGGATACACCTATGGGAGCAGTTTTCTCTAGCTGTCTGTAGCTTCACAGAGGAGGCGCTGGAGCTAACAGGAGGGGACACCTGGTCTACAGCCACAGCACCCTAAATGCCCCTGATCTTGTGTGATCTTGGAAGCAGGGTTGGGCCTGGCAGTACGAGGAAGGGAAGAAGGGACACCTGGCTCGTGGAAGGCTGGCCATCACAATAGGGTGTGTTAGAAAACAGCTGAGGGCGTTTGCTGTGTTCCCGAATCAGGCCCTGCTTCTGAAGGGAGGCTCATCTTCCTGGATGCAGCTTGGTGGCCCAGGCTGGGAACAGCTTTCCTCCTCGGAGGTGTCTGGGTGTTCTTGGGAACCGTTAACTCTTTCTCAGCTGCAAGCCCTGAGTCTCCAGTGGCTGAATTCACCTGACTTTTCGACAGGCCAAATCTCTGCTCTTTGAGTACAGGGACAGCTCCTCCTCCCTCCTCCCAGCTCTCCCCATGTGTGTGATCGTGTATTTAATGTTTTTTAAATGCGACATTAAAAGATTCTTCACGTCTTGCTCAACCTTTGAGAAAAGTTTCAGATTCTTGTATTTGCTTGTTTTATATAAAACTAATGTTCTTTATATGTTCTTTTCTGTACGTAATGGGGGGAGGGGTGGGAAATTTACATATAAATAGTCCTAGTTCTACAATTTGTTATTTTTTTAATTATTATTTTTTATCGTCATTGTGAAGTTGTCCAGGGACTTTAAAGTCCGTGTTCCTTTGTGGTGAAATAACCTCCAAATAGTTTGAGAAGTTGCCAAGAAGAAAAAAGCAAAACCCCAGTAGCAAAGCATGGATTCTGTGTTGTTTTCCATTCTGTCTTTGACTGCCTCATTCAATAAATAGTTAAAAATGTGGCAACAGGAAGTGGAATTGTTCATCTCTATAGAAGCACGTGGCTTCTTAGGCAAAAGGAACTTTATCTTGGGGCAGCTCATTCTGCTTTTTAAAATGTAGTCCTACTGAAGACCAGTGATCTCTGGCCTGTACCGCTCCAATGCTGAGGAGCTCTGTAACGAAGACACTGAGGATCGGCCAGAGCCCCATCACCAGACCAGCTCCATTTCATACATTTCACATATAATTTGTTTTCTTATGTTCTGGGGAAAAAAATTCCCACGAAAAATTCTTAGGAATATAAAAAATCCTAAAGATGGCTTCAGCACCTCTGGGTTTTTGTTTTGTTTTGTTTTGTTTTGTTTTGTTTTTAATTAACTTTTTTTTTTTTAGATGGAGTCTCGCTCTGTCACCCAGGCTGGAATGCAGTGGCGCGATCTCGGCTCACTGCAACCTTTGCCTCCTGGGTTGAAGGGATTCTTCTGCCTCAGCCTCCCATGTAGCTGGTATTACAGGCACCCGCCATCATGCCCAGCTAATTTTTGTATTTTTGGTAGAGACAGGGTTTCACCATGTTGGTCAAGCTGGTCTGGAACTCCTGACCCCAAGTTATCTGGACACCTCAGCCTCCCAAAGTGCTGGGAATTACAGGTGTGAGTCACCACGCCCAGAAAGAATTAATTTAATATCCACATTAAAAATCAGGGTGGGACTGGGCATGGTGGCTCATGCCTGTAATCCCAACACTTTGGGAGGCGAAGGCAGCCAGGTCACTTGAGGTCAGGAGTTCCAGACCAGCCTGGTGTTCAGCCAACATGGTGAAACCTCGTTTCTACTAAAAATACAAAAATTAGCTGGGTGTGGTGGCTAGCGCCTATAATCCCAGCTACTCAGGAGGCTGAGGCAGGAGTATTGCTTGAACCTGGGAGGCAGAGGTTGCACTGTGCCGAGATCACACCTCTACACTCCAGCCTGGGTGACAAAGCAAGACTCCATCTCAAAAAAAAAAAAAAAAAAAATGAGGTTGAGCGATGGTGCCTCTCCAGCTTGGAAGTTCTCCCAGCATGACTGTTATTTACGATTGAAGTGAATTGTCTTTCTCCAGGCAGAAGCCTTAAGCCATGAATTGTTCCCCTGCATCCTCACTCCCTTTCTCACACAGCTTACTCTCTTAACGTGGTGTCTGCCGTCTCTCCAGCTGTCCCTCCTGCCACATCCTCAGGCCTTTCCCAGACCCCAGCGGCCTGCACCTCCATGCTTAGGCATACCCTGGGCCTCAGCCTAGAGGACCTGCTGCCACCCCCACCACCCCTTTCTTTGTGTTGTTGGGTGTCCAGGCCGCTTTCCTGGTGATCATGACTAGGATGGTTGGATGGGGAGGCCATGAAGCCTTTTCCTTGGTGCCTGATGGTTCCGTGAAGCCAAGTGCCTACCTCTCCCTGCTTCTTGCACAAATGGCTACCCTCGCCTATTTTTCACCAGAGAGAATGGACTAGAAAAAGGATTGACTGCAGCCGAATCAACCACACATCCGTGCTCTTGACTACCAAGAAATAGCTGGGTTGTCTAGAGTACCTGCTGACCAGGGATCTCTCCAGAGGTGGCTTCTAGCTGCTGTTTGCCTGGCAAGCCTCAGGTGCTGCCTTTGCCACAGTCATGCATTGACAACTGGTTTTGGTGGGGCCAGTGGAGACCTTCCCTTCCATTCCTGCCTAAGTCACCAATGGGAGCCGCCAACTCTGCTGTCTGCTCCCGGGAGGTCACATCAATGAGGGAAGCCGAGGCAGTTCTGGTGTGAGAGGAGGGAATGATGGGCACAGGCAGAGTGGACAGCATTCATCTAAATCACCGTGCAGGAAGATGGACCCTATGCCCCATCTTCAAATATTTCCAGACAATCGGGAATCCAGAGTTTTGTACAATATGTGATTGCAACAAATAAAAAATTTATATGCTCTACAGGCAAAATAAAACCCATCTGTAGACCAGACCTGACCTGAGGGTCAGCTGCATTTAACTCTGTGAATGCCTGTCATGTGCCAGGTGAATGCAGCGTGGTAGTGGCCCATGAGAAACAAGGAGAGAGGAGGAGACCTTTACATAAACTGACTATGGCGGTCCACGGTGATGTGCTGTCGGGACAGCGCTAGCGCAGAATGAGCTCTGTTACCGCGTTCTAGCCCCTCAAAGCTCCTTCGTTAAGTAGTTTATCGTCTAAACTGCACACAAGAATCTGGTGCTCACAGAAACCAGGAGACTGGTCTGAGAATTCTTGGCTTCAAATCTTGCATCTGAGAAGCCCCACTGGTGATACTGGTGACTACTGGCATTATTGGAACACGAACAAATGAGCTAAGAACCGGAAGGGCAGAGAAGAAGAGGGGGCTCCTTGCCCTGAGCCTCACTCAGGCCCAAGCAAGGGTCTGTCTCCCCGTCTCAGTAATGCCCTTGAAGCTCGAGTGCTGGGCATGGAAGAATCGCTCCAGGCCTGTGGCGTTTACTTTTGGTGTCAGCACCAAAACTCATCAGGGAGGAAACTGGAGCTGAATTAATTGCAGCAGAAGCCATGTGGGGTGAGGGAGCAGGGCCCATGTTTTCCCTCTCACTCCGCCTCGGCAGGCTGTTAGCACCTAGGTCATCACAACTGGGGCTTCAGACACCCCATCCCAGCACTCTGCTGTTTACTGCAGGAGGCAGCTCTTGGAGATCACTCAGGATGGTGGCAGCGTGGAGGAAGAGGTACAGTAGAGAGGGGAGGCGGGGCTATGGGACTGGGCTCCGACTGAAGTAGCTGAAGAGCGTGGGTTTCCTCTTAGTCCCCAAGCCCCTCTGAATTTGAATTTCTCCCTCCTGAAAACCACTGGGCTGCTACCAAACATTCGTTGAGTATTGGTGGCCTGGAGTGTATAGTGGGTAAAGAAGGAAGAGGGGATCTGCGGCGGGGAACCAGAGTCCCCTGAGAACCTGGAGCCACCTTGGGAGGCAGGAATAGGCCTGGGCCCTGAGCCCTGTCCAGGGCCTTTGCTAGCTCTTGTTTATGAGAACTATGGTCTGACTACACAGAGTATATGGTAGCAATGACGAGAGTGAACACTTAGCCCTTACAATGTGCCTTGATTGTACTAGAAGATTTACCTATGTATTAACTTATTTAACTTTTTCAAAATACTATTATCCCCATGTTATAGATGAGCAAACTGAAATCCAGAGAGGTTCAGTTAAATAACTGGGCCAAGTTCACACTGTTGGTAAGCGGCGGAGCTAAGATACAAACTTAGAGAGGCTGGTCCCAGAATCTCTGCCTGGAAACACGACTTGATAGGAATTTTTTTTTTTTTTCCCCCTGAGACGGAGCCTCATCACTCTGTCGCCCATGCTGGAGTGCAGTGGCACAATCTCGGCTAACTGCAATCTCTGCCTCCCAGGTTCAAGCACTTCTCCTGCCTCAGCCTCCCTAGTAGCTGGGATTACAGGTGTGTGCCACCACACCCAGCGAATTTTTTTGTATTTTTAGTAGAGATGGGGTTTCACCCTGTTAGCCAGGCTGGTCTTGAACCCCTGACCTCAAGTGATCCGCCCACCTCGGCCTCCCAAAATGCTAGGATTACAGAGGTGAGCTACCACGCCCGGCGCCGATAATAAACTTTTCTTGTCGCCTGGAATGGATCAAAGTGGAGGGTATAAGAACATTCCGTTATTTTTTAAGTAGCTTAACTAATATTTAGGGGGTTCTCCCCCAAATTTAATGCACTTGGCAAATAAAATTGTTAGTGAAATTTTAAGTTTACTACGTCTCAACTGAAACTTCTGAATTTATCTACCCTTTAAGAAACTTAATACACTTTAGCCGGGCGCGGTGGCTCAAGCCTGTAATCCCAGCACTTTGGGAGGCCGAGGCGGGTGGATCACAAGGTCAAGAGATCGAGACCATCCTGGTCAACATAGTGAAACCCCGTCTCTACTAAAAATACAAAATTTAGCTGGGCGTGGTGGCGCATGCCTGTAATCCCAGCTCCTCAGGAGGCTGAGGCAGGAGAATTGCTTGAACCCAGGAGGCGGAGGTTGCGGTGAGCCGAGATCGTGCCATTGCACTCCAGCCTGGGTAACAAGAGCGAAACTCCGTCTCAAAAAAAAAAAAAAAAAAAGAAACTTAATACACTTTAAGAGGCCAAGTAAGGCAGACTGCTTGAACCCAGAAGTTAGAGACCAGCCTGGGCAACATGGTGGAACTCCATCTCTACAAAAAATATAAAAATCAGCCTGGTGTGGTGGTACATGCCTACACTCCCAGCTACTCAGGAGGCTGAGGTGGAAGGATCTCTGGAGCACAAAAGCTTGAGGCTGCCGTGAGCCATGATCATGCCACTGCACTCCAGCCTGGATGACAGGGCAAGACTCTGTCCCCAAAAAATAAGTTACAGCTATCAATTACTAAATGGCTACCATCATTTTACTATGCAAAATACCTTACACCTTTTTTTATTTTTTTTTAAGATGGATGGAGTCTCGTTTTGTCGCCCTTTTTTCTAATCCTCTTCACAATCCTGTCGGGAGAGACTCCATTTTATGGGGGTAGAAACTGAGACTCAGCATCTGCCCTAAGAACTAACAACTGGAGGGCTGGGGTCAAGCCCTGATATGTCTGTGTGTTGCAGCTCTGCTCTCTGTGCCAACCACTCAGGCAGACGACAAAACTGCACCTCGGGATTATAAACTCCACGCGTGTCCTGAGTGGAAGAGCCTCTGGTGGCTAGACCTTTTCGCCACACGCGCACATGCTTACATGCAGCAGGGCCTCAATATAGCTCCTAGGATGAGTGAACCTAGTTTTCCAGTGTTCTTTAATTGGAAACTTCAGGGAACCCAAAACAGCTATTCCTACATATTTTCATTACTCAAAAAAGTTCTGACCAGCACAGTGGCTCATGCCTGTAATCCCAGGCTTTAGGAGGCCAAAGTGGGAGGACAGCTTTAAGGCCAGGAGCTTGAGACCAGCCTGGATGGCAGCGTGACACCAGCCTCTACAAAAA